ACTTCGATGTGGATTCGAAGTTGGGGAAGGATGGTTGGGGTTGCTGTGGAGAATGGAGAGCTCTGGTAGTGGTCGAGGCTGGCGTCTAGATAGCGGCCGCGGTTGGATCTTGCTGAGGCTGGGGCTGGGGCGAAGCATGGACCCTGCAGCCAACGTCATCGCTGTTGGTCACGCAGCACGCGTGGGTCTTCCGCTAGCACCATCTGGGCTTGACATGTACACATGTACTGCACGTTGTGCCGTCGTGCATTCGTCTTGTGGAGACATAGCAGTAGAGCGCAATAGCGACGGACTTTTGAGCAACTTCTAACTGATCAACGAGTGACTGCATTGAGCGAGTTCTGGAAATCTGAAACCCGATTTCCATGATAGAGGTATGCCTGGTGACGGTACGTATCTGAGATCGATTCGGAGCCATAATAGCATTCCGACATTCTAGGCGGTACCTGCGTGCTTAGAGTATCTTCGCGCAGCATCCAAAAACAGACGATCCAGCTCGGCCGCAGCAGTTTCATTGCTGACCTTCAGTTTCAGAGTTCGCCGTCCATGCGAGACTCCGTCATTTATCCATTCGTTTGAGCCATCTTCAGCGTTGATCTTATTGTAGCCGCGGTCTTCTGCAATGTCGAACATGTCTCCAAGGCCGTTCGCAGCATACATGATAGTCTACATATGGGCGCAAGAAATCAGCGTATGCCTCGCAAGCAATTCGTAAAGGGACACCTACAAGTGGATCCCAACTAGGTAGCGGCTTCCCGAAACCATAGTAGATGTAAGCCATTCGGACTGGATCGTCTTCCAGATCACTCGCCATCAGCGGCCCGCCTATCAGTACATCTCTGCCGACAGTAGTGCCTACAAACGTTATTGGGCCGTCCCATGTGTCTAATACATGAGCAGCGAGGGCGGGCTTGGAGCCCCAGAAGTTCCAGCTACGACCCTTCGGATACTTGCCACCCATGACGACGAGCTCTGCCACTTTAGTCCTGGCAAGCTCGCGACCGTCAAGCCGAGAGTACTCATCGGGTTTGGAGTCCAGAAGTCCAGAGAGCTGTAGGAATTAGCGACCAGCTGTCAATAGACAAGAGCCACATTATGAAAACGCACATTATCGAGGAAACCGATGGAAGCAATCGTCACGCTTCCGTCTTCTGATTCAGAGAGCAGTTTTCTGTACAGGACAACTGGATCCCATGCCTTGTCTGCCTTTCCCCATGGTAGAGTGCCTCCGGACCAGTGGTAGGCCACTTTACTCGTGTACTCGCCGCGCTTGTAGTCCCAGGCGTCAAAGAACCTCACGTCGTTCATTGGACGACGGATACCAATAGGTGTCTTGGGGTGTCCATAATGTGCGACAATAGCAGATGCTGCGAGAGCAGAGTATGAACAGGGGTGGTTGACGTTGACACCGAGAAGGTTGACATTGGGGAGAGTTGCGCCTAGCAGCAATGCGCCCGCATCACTAGTACACTAGTAAGCTTCTTGTGACATGAGAACGAGGCTATGCGTACTCAACATCGCTGTGCAAGTCGGTGTCGATGATGAGGTTCTTGCGCGTTGTCATTGCCTGGAAGTTGACGAGAAGGGAAGCAGTAGTATGCCAAGGTAAGTTGAGAGGCCCGTAATATCTGTGAATATCTAGCGTGTATCTTGTAGTGGAGTGGAGAGCTGGGAACGTTTGGCCGTCAACCAAGCATGAGGGGTAGCTCGCAGCCTCAGGCCCACCGGTTCTACCAATCATGGCCTAGCCCACAAGAGGCAGTCAGATAGATATGGGCGCCTACGTATCTGGCTTGCCTGAGGTTTTGGACGAACAAGTCAGCAAACATGGTTCTGACAAGCCAGCTGTGTTACGATGTCACATCAATTCCCTGTCTTGTTTCGTCCATAGTGGGGCTAGAAAGGTGCTTGAAGCTTTCAGCTTTATAAGAGACCTATTACTGAGGCTTGAGAAGTTTACATCGGCGGTGGATTTAGATCAAGGCCCTCAACGCTGAGCTTGAAGCTGTCCATCCGCGAATAACTTCCCCCAGAGTCGAAGTCGAGTCTGCCACGCTCACAATCGTCAAAATCGACGTCTGCAACTAACAACTCATCTTCTTGCTCCCATACCGGTCCGGCAAGCACCTCGCCCAAGGGTGATACTATCATAGAGCCGCCTCGGGAAACATATTCCTCGCCGTCCGCTGACTGAGGCTGCGAGAAGGGTTGTTGCTTGGGGCTAAGCGCATCTTCTGCAGTGGATGAGGAGTCAATCGCCGATGAATCGCCCTCAGTCGCCTGTCCTTCTGGTATTGGTATGCAAATTTCGTGACCCTCCGGCGTCTTCGTGATGGTACTTCGTCGTCTGCCAGCGACTCCATTACTCTGTTGCGAGAGGCTCCTGCCGACGCCGCTTCTGCTCGCATAGCCCTGCGATTGTGCTTTGCCGGTAATCCATTCTGGGAGGTGTTTCTTCTTGACGCATTGGTTTGCACTAACCACGAAGCATCGGCCTTCGCAGCCTACCGTGCGCATCAGCGACGTCCAAGCATCGCGTGCATCTGCTGTCGGCGCAAACCACAGGTTGACGTTCTGGCTGTACAAGCTTTGCCTCAGCAATGGCATGTAGTTCTCCCAGCAAATCGCCGACCCCATACACAGTTTGACACCCTTGATTTCCGTTGTCACGGCCCTCAGTGTACTCGCACTTCCCATGCCCCAAATCAGCCTTTCGCTGCCCGTCGGCATAACTTTCCTCCTCTTGCCCAATACACCCATCTTCGGATCGACGAATACAACACCACAGTATAGTGTGCCACCCGACTTCTCCACAATCCCCGTAACAACAAAGACCCCCGTCTCTCTTGCTATCCTCTCTAGCTCCTCTCGTGTCCCATCACCCCTGTATTCCTTCCCTCTCGGTAGCTCGAGCTTCCGGTCTAGCCAATCTTGCCCAGCGCCGCTCGGTGTGTCGCCCATATCGACAGCATCGTGGAAATAGTGCAGGAATTGCTCACGACCTTCGGGTGCGCGACCACCAACCGCAGCGCCAAAAGCGCAAGTACGAGGATATCCACCCAGGTATGCTTCTGGAAACAGGAGGACATCGATGCCTTGGGATGCGGCGCGTTTCGTTGTCACTTCGAGAGCGGCGAGGGTCTCGGCGGTTGTTGAGAGCGTGCGGGATTGCGCGGATGCGATTTTGAGAGTTTGGGGCATTATGGATGGAATTAGAAGAAAGAAACAAGTGCTTATGGATGGCGGAGTGAAGAGCACGCGAGAGAATGAAGGGAGGTGATGGCGTATGAGCTTCCGAAGCTTGCCGTGATGGCAGCTGAGCTTCCCGAGCTACCCCGCTCGTAACCCCCACCTCGAACGAGCAAAAGAAAGCATCTCCAACATCGAAGTGGAAGGTAGCTTTTGACGCGTCGCGGTGTTAGGGGAAACGCGGATAGGGCCGAGAAACGAATGATGATCTCGGTGGATGCTTGTGGATCTGCTATACAGTCGAAGCTTCCACAACTCCACACCACGACGTCACACTCTGATGAACACTAGCAGGTGCAGAATTTCTTCTTCCTATGTAGATTTTACATCGTAACAGTCCTACTTTCAATCAAACTCGATAAACCATAAACCTCACAAAATGTCGCAGCCCGTCGACGTACCAACCCATCTCGACTCCCTCATCACCTCTTCGCACCCCCAACTGCGCGATGCCGTCCTCCCAAAACTTCTCAGCTCCATCCACACAATAGCCGGACACCTGCGCACCTCTCCATCGGTAACCCAAGTCGGAACCGCCAATGCCTTTGGCGACGACCAACTGAACGTGGACGTCCTGGCCGAAGAAGCGATCCGCAAAACCATCGACTCATGCCCAGCTATCGTAACAGCATCCAGCGAAGAAGACCCTGTCGAGAAATCATCGAAATCTACCAGCAGCGAGGAGCAAGGCAAAGAAGTCTACACACTCGCCTTCGACCCGCTAGATGGCTCCTCCATTATCGCACCAAACTGGAGTGTAGGCACGATAATCGGAGTCTGGGAAGGAGCATCAGCCCTACATCAATCGCCGGACACGAAGCAAATCGCCTCGATACTGGGTGTACTAGGCCCACGTACTACCGCCATTGTCGCCCTCCGCTTGCCAGGTACCAAGGGTTCATGTTTCGAGGTCGGATATGCAGACGACGGCACCATGCAAGTCATCCGCCCAAACGTGCAGTTGACGCAAGCCTCTGAAGTAAAGACGCGGTATTTCGCTCCGGCCAACATGCGCGCAGCGGCCGAGGATCAGAGGTATCTGAACTTGATCAACCGTTTCATCATGCAAAAGTACACACTGCGATACAGCGGTGGCCTTGTTCCGGACGTTGTCCATGCGCTGGTCAAGGGCCATGGTGTGTATATTTCTCCGGTTACGGAGCAGAGCAAAGCCAAGCTTAGGCGGCTCTATGAATTAGCGCCTATCGCGCTGATCCTGGAGTGCGCTGGAGGTGCGGCGTTGGATTCTGCGACGGGGAAGCGAGTGTTGGAGACGGCGGTGGAGGATACGGATGAGAGGGGTGGGTTGATCTGTGGAAACAAGGAGGAGGTTGAGGCTGCTATGAAGTCTTTACTTCAGTAGACGGAGTCATTGAGAGATTGATGTGTCAAGAGATGCATCTAGACAAGTGGATAAAGAGGGTCTAACGTTAGGAGGCTCTAATGTAATTCGATCCGTACTCGTCGTTCTTCTACCAGTAATCCAAGACGTCGCCAGTGACAACAAGGGAAAAAAGTGGGTATATGTCGTGAATAACTCATGACGGAAGTGAGCAACGAGGCATAGCCATCGTGCCCTGAATGTGTGCGCTTCTCAAATTAGAAGTGGCTGTAATGTCGTAGCGTGCTCAAGGAATGTCTTGAGCCGCTGGAATAAGAACAAAGGGAAAGGTATATGGGTCTAGAGAAACCAAAAAGTCGACGAAACGATGGCGCAGTTTACAGAGACGGAAAAACAGCAAAAGGTCCACTCAGTAAGCGCGACCGGCTTCGATGTCGCGCTCGCGACTCCGTCCACGAGTTGCTGATGTGCCTCTGCTGCCCGGTCGGAGCGCTGCGCAGACTGTCTTGCAGCCATCCCGCCAACCCGGCTGCGATGACACAGGTAGCGCAGTGAGCTCCTTCGTGCTGTAGAGGCTCGCATGCTCGTAATAATCGCGCTCTTCAACCTTGACATCCAACTTGTTGGTTATATGGATGCCTTCTAACGGAACATCGCCGCGAATCGATCCAGCAGTGCACTGTGATCGCTGTGTCGAGTGCTGGGATGCTTTCCCGGTGAAGCCTTGCGATAGTGTATTCGAAGATGGACCGGACGCTTGACCGGGGATTCCAGTCTGCGAGTAGCCGGCGCGCGAGGTGTACATGCTGAAGTAGCGACCGAGGAAGACTTTGAGCGAGGGCGCTGAGGCGCACATCACAGCTAGCTGGGCTTCGAGTGTCGTCCAGATCCAGCCAGAATATGCCGCCCAGGTGATGTCGTAGGTGACTAGACCAGAGAGTTAGTTTGGCCAGATGACGATTTCCAGAAAAGAGATCCTTACAATAGTATAGCTTTGCGGCATAGAACGTTCGCATTATGCCGCAGATGCATGTTATCAGCCCCACGCCAAAAATGGCACACAGACCGATCTTCTGGCGTTTGCTGATCTGAAGGTTCCAAATCAAAAGTACTGGTAGCAGGCAGATGATGAAGTCTTGGAACAATGAAATCACGGCGCATGCGACGATGAGGGCTCCCTCGTTACGACACGTCAGCTCATTCTGCAGTCTCCAGGATATGTCGAAGAGGCGGAAGAATCCTATGACTGGTGTACATGTGAAGACAATGGCGATAGTGAAGGCAACTCCGTAAATAATGCAGAAGGCGATGGTGCCGTAGACCCCTGTGGAGCAACGTTAGCTTCTGCGTTGACCAAGCTGGCTTTGGCTAGATACTTACAGTAGATAAACTGGTTCGTCAGACGATCACCGATTCGCCGGTAGAAGCAAAGGATCGAGACTTTGATCAGCGTCGAGGTTAACATGTAGTTGAGTTCAATTGCAAAAGCGATCTCTCTTGTCGTTACTAGTGTTTCTTTGGTCTGATCCCAAACGTGCCATTGGAAGCCATAGATACGAATGCCTAAGTATGTTAGCAAGGACTACTTCGAAATGGAGCGGTACTTACCAAGCACGCTTGAAATGGTCAGACCAAACAGTGGAAACATTGCTATGCTGACAAGTATGTCGTCCAGCCCAAAGTTCTTCGATATGACCAGCCTTGCCCACATCCGCGCACAGTATACCAGGAAGGTGATGCCCAAGACGACCATGAGCAGTATTGGTGGTCCCCAACCTCGCTCCTCCGGGTCGACATAATTCGGTCTTGGCCAGCTGAGGAGGACTTCTGGTGGGGGATGTAAACCGCCTGCACGAGCGACGAGGCTGCCGCCATAGGATCCCAGAGTGTTTCCGTCCATATTAGATATTACCGGCGTAGTAGCAGCAGGCCTAGCTGTCGGGGTGAATGAGACACGAACTGACCATCGCAAACAGAAACGGCACCCGGGATATGAGTTAGATCTATACACAAGAGTCGGGGGTCCAAGACCAATGACTCCGCTAGTAGTTAGTTAGCGGGGTCCATATCTTCCCGCACCTCAAACACTGTGGAGTGATCTACGCCACAGTACGGGTCCCCTAGTCTTGCATGGCGTATATGGACTATTTCGCCGACTGCATCCATTATTAGGCTCTTTCCGTGAGAGCTTCCAAGAAAGTTGCGGTGAACATCGGGGGTACAAGGCGGAGTCATGTACCGTCAGCTTCGCGACATGAACAAGTCGCTGTAGTTTTGCGCATAGCCCTGGTAAGCGTGGCGTTGTGTAGAAACCCGGGGGCGCGTAACAGTGAACGCAATTGAAGGCTATACTGGCCCTGCAAACGTCTTGCATCGTGCAACGCTGATCTTTGATCACCATGAGGCAGGGAAGTTTGACCGCACACGTGGCATGTGTAACAGGACGTTTGTTGGCGTTGCTTCTGCAGGTGTTTGAAGATCGCGCGACCCGCTGTAGCGGTAAATGATCCACGCGAGCGTATGGAGCTTGAGCTTGCCCAGGTGCGAAGCGACACTTGGGGTAGGATTGCCGATACCACTTACTAGTAGTCGAGCTAGAATCATTACTTCTACCCGTGTGCCTGCAGATCTGCGACGTCCCCACAGGAAAACGGCTGGTGGTGGGTTGCGATCAATGACCCTGGGTCATGAATTTTCGTCGAAAACGAGAAGAATCCAAATGTGTTGAGACGTCGATGTCCAAGAATCCATGTACAATCGTGCGCATACCTGCCTTACATCATCATGGTGATGCATGTCAAGGAAAGCTACTTCTGAACCCAACCTCGAGGCAAGATCCATGGCGATCATGGAGCGGTGCGCAATCATGGAAAGCTTCAACGACAAGACGCCATAGTGTACGACTGCATTAGGTGAGCTTGTCACAACTACCGAGGATTTGCAACCGCAGTTCCAGATTAGCATTGAGGTGTCGAACATATGCAGTCGCCCTACGAACGATTCCCGTCACGAGTAAGAGGCGGACCTAGGCTAAGGCTAACGGACGTCTCAATAATCATTTGAACACCGCTAGACGCGTAAAAGGCCCTACCAAGACCAACGGATGCTTGTCGTTTTGCAGTTGCTAACCGGGAATTTTGGCAGTCTTCGAATAGGGTTGCGCTCGCTGCGGGACTTACCATGTCAAAACTCAATTTCGCGATCGACAGCCACGCGAGTGAGGCGTTCGTGACGAGACGTTGTACGCGCAAAGTCGGCGATAGAAGTTTGTAAAGTGTCAATAACCGCTGCAAGGCTCGGGAATATGGATGAACGTTCGTGCTGATGATGAATGAACATGGTAGGTGCTGGCGATTGAGTCTGAGGAATCTATCGAAGAACGCTGACATCATCAGCAGCGCACGGACTTCAGCAGGAAAGCGGGCACACCCTCCAGTCAAACACGTCCTCCCCGCATCCCTTTGACCCCTGTTTGGTTCACATCTCAGGCAAAGTTTTTCGCATTCCAGGCAGACTTCGGCTTCCGTTATCGGGGATGCCTCTGTCGAATTCCTCTATCGAGATCGGGCTTTGAGCGACGGTCTTCGTTATCAACCGGCAGCGTCTACTCCGAGATGACCCTTTGTCCGAGCTCAGGGACTATTCGAAATACAATTGAAGATCTCTTAACGCTACATCTCTGGGTACTAGAAGATCTGCCGTGCTCACTCACCACGTGGAAAGCCTAGCAAATGCTTCCATGGCCTTTAGTACAGCCTCGGCTGCTTCTGACTGCGGAACGAGATCGACACATGCATCAGCGGACTGTCCCGAATGCGCCACCTCCACAGCATCGTCTGTCATCCCCTTACCGCCTTCCGTATCCTCGTTATTGTAATCGCCTGGATCTTCGCGCGCAGCTTCTGCCAAAACTGGTTCGCTTCCTGTCGGATCACGATAATCCCACGTCCCAGGCTTCTTTCGATGTATTGCATGCAGCTTGGCAGGCTGTCTACGGCCACCACCCGCACCAGGACGCTTCCGTGGCTTCGTAATCATTCCGTCTGCAGGCTCATCCTCCACGCTTCCGAACCCGTCCTGTCGCATGAATTGATCGAAGAACTGCATGCGAGGTTCATCAATCTTGAGCACTGCCTTACATGCGCGATAGCCCTTCTTCAGCATTGCTGCGACGTACTTGTTGGCGAAGTGTTGTATCCTGTCCTCTTCGACTAGCCCGGTGCTGTCCATTGCGGTGTCATCACTGGAGCCAAGAGTGAGACTGTCGAGAGCTACTTCCGCACGTACTACATCGATCAGGCAAGCCGGGCAGACGAACGGCTGGCCTTGCATCGGTCGCGCACAGGTCACACCACAGCTTGCGGTATACTCTGTTTGGATTCTGTGGCCACACTGTAGGTCATGGAACGTCGATGATGGGTTGCATGGACTGTACATGTCGTGGAAGTGCTGATCACTCTCTTGGATCTGCAGCTCACGCTGTTGCCTTTCGGTTTCAGCTACCTTGTTGTGGAAGGCATCGATGATAGCGCGAGCTTGTGCAGGAGCAGCGTGCATGTTTACCCGAGAATCACCCCGGGCAGCTGAATTGATGCAGTCGGTAGCCAGGCGTGTAGTTTTGATGTCGCATTCGAGCTGGTGATGAGATTGTGTACGTCAAGAGATGGTTGGTGGTGCTTGGGTAGCGGAGGTTGTCGACCCGGAGGGAGAGTCATGTGTTGATAGGGGAACTCCGCGCGTGACAAGATGCGCAATGCCGAGGACGGCTGACTAATACAGGAGCGGAGCCTTGTGTCAATAGCACCGACTCACGGTAAGACACCTGTACGGAAATTTGATGAGAAGTCTTATTTGTGTATCTTCATTCGACTCACAGTAATGTCGAATGGTGGGTAGTGCAGCTCGACCCCTTCCTCATTCTCAATTAGGACAACCTTGCTCACAGGCCATCCATTGCTGTCATGATAGCCGTCGAAGTCGAACCAATCGCACGATGCCAATCCCGGAAAGATCATCCTCCAAACCTGCGCTCCAGGCCCAAATTCATCTGTCTCGCCTACGCCCTCCGCCGGCTCCAAGACAACCCCTTCAGGTGTAGAGAAGTAGCGTGGCTGGGCATCCGCGGTCCAGGACAAGCGATCTATTGCTTCGAGCGCGGATGAACCGTTCACCATGAGCGAGCGAATGTACAAGATCTGGTCTTTGATCTCCAAGTTGGCGTAAGTCGAGGAGTTTGAGAGCGTAGTGGCGACTTCATCAGCAATAAGTCCAGTGTCTTCACCAGCGTTGTAGAACCCTGCAAAACGCTCCTTCGTTCTCATGCTCAATGCTTCTGCGAAAGCAGGCGCAAGAATAGCATGTATCGTATCTCTGACAGTACTCGTCGAGACACCTGCGTAATCGGCCAAACCAGACCCTTGCACGAGCACGATTATGCCATAACCGAGATTTGGTATGGCGTCGATCCAGCTATGCCAGCCTCCTCCATCGCCGGACTTGCCAAAGATGCTATATGTCTTCATGCTGTCTTCCGCCAGACTAGCATCCTCACTCGTCGGTAAGTTCAAGATCTCAATCTCCCAGCCTGGGCCGCTCTGCTGCTTGCCGTCTGCAAGTATGACACTTGGCTTCATGACCTGACGACGCTGGAAGGGCGTAATGAGCGTAGGCTCGGGCGTGAGCCATAAGCCATGCATATACCGGGCGAGATCGTTTGCAGAGCTCCACATGCCGGCTGCTGGATCGTAGCCTTCGCCTACGATCAAATCGACCCAACTGTCACCGCCCGGTACGGTTATGTCTGGGATAAGATTCTGCGGCACAGTGCCGAAGAAGCTGTGGGTCATGTTCAATCGCTGAAGAAGTTCCTGCGATGTCAGCTCAGACCAGCTGAGAGACGAGAAAGTGATGTTGTTGTAGTATGTCGCTACAGCAGCTAGCGGTCGATTAGTCCATGTTCTCTTTAGTCGCATGCTATATTCACTCACCACCTAGAATACCCAAGCCTGCATTCGAATCTAGTCGTGTCAGTACGCATCTCGTTAGCAGGGCGAAGTCGCTTACAAGCTGCTCTCTGCCCTGGCGCAAACATCAGATTCTTCATCGCTATCCCATCAATTACATCTTGGGCAGTTTCACCCGCCCATGCAGCTCCAATGGTCGGCGAATCTGCTTTTCCGGTACTAAGAATCATGTTGAAGCCAGTATTGTAGCTTTCTCTTGGTATTCCCGCTGTATGGCTGGCAAGCATACGCAGCGTGATCTCGCTGCCGCCGTCGTTCCAGTCTCTTTCCGGTAGACCGAAAGAAGGAAGAAGTTGGCGGACGGGCGTGTCGATAGTCAGGAGTGATGACGATGATGAGGAGTTTTGTCTGAGCTGGGTTTCGATGACCAGAGCAGAGGCCATCGCGACGTTCTTCGAACAAGACATCAGGCGGAAGATCGAGTCGCTCGTCACCGCATTTGTCTCGGTTGGGCCCACATCAGTCTCGTTGAACTTCAATGTTCCGTTGTTGAACACATATGCTGGTTCTGAGCTTGACGCATGGACCTTGTGATTGTTAGGAATGAGCCTTTTATTGAGATTGCACCTGTACGTACGACAGCGAAGCTGAGCCCATCTCGAGTGGTATTGATATATAACGCTGAGAGGTTGCGCTGGACTTGTTCAAATGCTGCGATCACTGCCGGATGTTGTAGTGTAAGCGGGTCAGACAGTATCTTGTCGGCGAAGTCGGGCACGCATGCACATGCTGCGAAGGAAACCAGGCATGGTGCTAATGCGAAGGTGATCCTCATTGTGAGGCTGTTTTTCACGAAACTAAACCACAGAGGCGAATGTAGGATATGCGCGAGGATGTCGGGCTTTAGGGATATTTGTACATTGAGATACAGAAGTATGTTGTGCACAGGTAGATACCGCTGTAACGGTCCAAGAGTTGCGTATGCGCCGAGACGGCATCAGGGATGCGACAAGCCAATGATGTGTTTGTGCTCCTGCAGCCAGAGACACCTGCCTATCGGGGCCGATGTGTATGCATATGGCTGCAGATAATCCACAATGCTTCTGGTCATGCTTTTCCATCTGGGCGACTCCTAGGTGCCGTCATCAACAAAGATAGAGCAATTGTCGAGAGCCTGTGACCCTGATCAGTTGAAGCTTGTCGCGATGCTTACTACCGAAATGAGGGCGAGAAGGACCGAGAGGGAGCATCCATGGATGTTCGAAGAACGAAGTTTAGGTCAAGAGTGGGGTGACCCCATGTTGGTACTTGCGCCCCACATCAACGCCTATCTCTGAATCTAATAGCCTTGCGTTTACACCTTTCATCTCTTCGAACGTTTTTTTTTTCCCTCGATACCGTCGACGTTCGACTACTAGTAGAACGCCTACTGCGCTTTTCATTTTCTTGCTCTGCGGGAAGAGGACGAAGTGTTCAAGAATGTAGTAGCGCTATAACCTGTTGTAGCATACACCGAATAAGGTCACAAGCTGGAAATACCCTTCAGCTGCATGCAAGACGACATGTAAGATGAATTGAGTGTAATAAAACGTATATTGTTTGTAAAAGCAGAACCGAGAAGGTAAAAATAACGTATTCGGTCTTGCCGCAGCTGGTAAAGTAAAACCAACCGTTGTATCATTATCGTAGAAAGAACGTATCTCTGGTCAATGCATCGCGCTCTAAGCGCCTCTGTCGCTCGCTCTCCTCTAAACGTTCGAGCCGAGATTTATCGATGTCGAGAACTTCCAGGTTATTTGATGTCCTATCGCCAGAGCCTCTCGCGGCGGTAGGTCGATGGTGCTGCTGCCACGGATTTTGAGACATCAATACCGGCATTGACGGTCTTGAGGCGAGAAACCGTTCGGGCAACACAGCTTGGTCTTGCTGTCGTCTCTTCACGCGAGCACCCTCTTCCAGCGAGTCAAGTCTCAGTTGCAGAGACTCTAACTTCTGCCGTGTAGCTTCCGGTTCTAGGGCTTGCGGAGACGGTGCAGGGTCGGGAAGTTTCCTATGAGTGCGACGCCTGAATCGTCCAGGTATTCCAGTGGCTGTGCGGATTTGATGGTGTGGCGGGACAGGATGGACTTTATCTGTGGACTCCTCGCCCCGAAAGTATGCTTGTGAAATCTGGCTGTCTAGAGTTTGGGCGCGAATTGGAAGTGCACAAGGAGCTGCGCCGGAGCGTCTAGCCCATTGCGCTGCTCTTGTATCTCCTGTCCTGCTAGCATTAGGCTGGGGTGGAGGAAGTGGAATTCTCTGGTTCTTATCGAGGTTTACGGTGCAAGCCGAAGCGCCGACAGACAGCTCGCCAATGCGTGGTGGTATTGTTAGGTCGTCATAGCATACTCGCTTGGTGCTCTTGCTCTTCAGATCGGCTTCCGAAGTAGCCTTCACTTCAGGCTTTGAAGAGCTCCGAATAGAGGATGTGAGGTTTTGACGCAGCCGATCCAGCGTCTGTACCAGGATTGCGCAATTCTGGCACGGAGGTGTACTGTCGAATTGCGGAGTCGATTGTGATGAGAACGCCGGACTAGAAGCGTTGCTCATGTAAACATGCTGGAAGTTCGGATCCATCTCGCCACAGACAGGATTCGGTTGCTTCGCGTTGACCGAGGGGACGGGCGCGATCGGTACTGCGCTACGCTTATGCTGCCACTGCTGGATCTTTTCTTCCGTGGTCATTGAGCGTGAGAAGTTCGAGAAAAGCGAGGGGCCTGCAAAAGGCGCGAAGTCTGAGTTGCGTTGCTGAACGAAGTCTGCGGGAAGGGTTGCCGCTCTGGCGAGTGGCTTCTGTAAGTGTTGTGATGGTGTATGTGTAGAAATGCCGGGCGCGCGTCGCAGAGTTGGCTCAACGGGACCGCTCGGTCTTCGTAGTGGAGTGAAGTCGGAACTTGGCATGTCCACAGCACTTTTCTTTCCGTGCCGGATGACTTCAAGCATTGCGTCGCCTTTTGGAGCTGTAGTCAAGTTCTCGTAACCAGATGAGGTGATGAGGATGTCGTCTTCTATGCGAACACCGCCCACGGGCATGTAGCGCTTCAGTACCTCGGTATTGATGTACTTGGAGTGAACGGGTGATGGGAGATAGAAATGCTGTAGAGCGTATGCGGAAAAGTAGATGCCAGGCTCGACAGTGACAACCATGCCTTCTTCAAGATGGCTGCTCTGGGGATCGCTGGGCGCAAGGCAAGTCTCAGAGTCATATACTGGGACATGGAAATCCTGTGGGTAAAGAGATGGTGCCTGTCAGATTGTTAGCGACTGATCAATGTTGGGATTGATTGAACTTACCTGCTGATATACTGGCTTCCCTCTTCTTACACTCATGAGTTGTGCCTGACCCACGTCATGCACTTCAAGGCCTATGTGATGTCCAAGACCATGGGGAAAGAATGCTCTACTTGTACCTGCCTTGTAGATTTCTTCTTTCGTTCCGTGGTGAAGTATTCCCAGTTGCAGTAACCCATCGATTGCGATCTGATGCGCCATGATGTGCAAATCGAGATATCTTACGCCGGGCTCAAGCCTTTTGATACATGTTTCCTGCATACGCTGGACCAGCTTGTAGATGTTCTCGGCTTCTTTGCTTGGCCAAGAAGTAGATAGCGGGAAAGTGCGGGTAATGTCACTTGCATAGAGCTCATACTCGCATCCTGCATCTAAACACATGAGTTGACGACCTGCGAGATCTTCATCGTTCGCGGCATAGTGAAGAGTTCCGGCGTTCGGTCCGGAAGCAGCGATGGGATCGTAGGCCTGTTGCTTCGCTTGCTGCGATATGCACACATCCATGAACAATCCCTCAACCTGTGCCTCGTTCTTGAAGTTCGTGATGTTAGCAAGGATTTCTCGGTGCGCTTGTGAGCTGATGTCGTTCGCTTTCCGAACAAGCTTGATCTCGTGATCATCCTTGATCATGCGACACACGTTCATGGCTGACCGGAGGGCTATCGAATCAATACGGGGCTTCAGATTGTCGCAGCCGGGGAATTGCGACGACTGGTGCAGGACGTAGATGCCAGCCTGCCGGTTACCGATCGCCCATCCTTGCACGGCGTACTCAAGCTCATCTGCGTAGAAAACTTGATCGACATCGTACTTCACGAGTGCCTCTGCTAGAGTGGAGCCACGACCGTACCAGATAACGCGCTCAGGCTTGATGCGGGGAATGAACAGGGACAATTCGTCGCGTCGCGTGTCGTACGTCAGATGGCAGTCAGGCTCATTGCATCTTCATACCATCAGCACGGTCCTCATTTACTCCCAGATCAACGCACCCGCTCAAGTAATAGAAATATCGGCGTTGTCGGAAGGGTGCTGGCATGTCGCTATCTTCGTTGTTCCTCGCTGGTTGACCCGGTAGGTAGATCAGGCCTTCTTCAACACCCAACTTCTCTTGCACCCTCCGCGCATGTTGTTTTGCTGCGCGACGTTAGCTGATTGCGCGACCCACGCTCATCTTCCCAGACTTACCGGGATACTTCTCAAACGGAGTCTCAGCCTCGAGGTGCAGCCAGTACTCATTGTCTTCCCATCTCAGGCGCTCAGAAAGACCTTTCGCATCGAGAACTTCCATCGTGTTACCTCGTAATGCCTCGGGGAAGAACTGCGATTGCGAAAGGCTTAAGCTCCGATTGAGATGTGACCAGCGTTTTAGTGTTGTCGAGGATCTCACCGGTAAAGCCACCGCATAGTGCACGTGCCAGCTCGAGCGCTCCGGTCAGTAGGCCGGGAGCTACGATCGTGAACGCTGTCAACACATTCGGCCCCTTACATCTATAAACTGACTGGTGCCGTCGACGATAGTCTCTCTGAGTACACTGGCATCATGGCTGCAGTGCGCCTCCAAACGTGTAGGCCCGACGAAGATGCCCATGTTGCCTTACGACCCCGCGCCTGCGCCTGCTTCCGCTGCCCATCGACTGTGCGACACGAGACGAGGTCGTGTCAAGCGTCGACCTCAACTCATGTGGACATCTGCAGCATGCTCACTGCATTTGATAGGTGACACGATTAGACGTACACCGATTTCGGGTCAATGCAAGAAAGAGAAAGGAAATCGCAAGGTGTCTAATGACAGAAGGATGCTGATTGGTTGGAAATATCTTGACCGGTGAACCGGTCAACACATAGCTAAGAGGCACGTACCCAATATGTCAGACTGAGTAATGTCGCACTGACACCCGACCGGCTCTGGGATCTCGTTTGTTTTAGCTAGTATTTACATCGGATCTGTGCTCTCAGAAAAGATCGCCATTTTGAGGAGGGCGGGGAAGCTGACATCGCTCCATTGCCACCCAAGCAAAGGGCTTTGTGACGTTCCTGGAGGATCTCACGTCTTCGCAGAAGCCCAAGAGATGTTCTATGGGCCTTGTCCAAAACGACATGTTGTCGTCTTGCCCTTATGTTGTCTTTCGTTTCATCACTTTGCTCATTCAGGTCATCAGATCATTTACTATCTTCTCTTTCGTCACCTTCGAAGTCTTCACATCACTCTACTTGGTAAATCATTCCATGTGTGACTGCAAGTTTTCATTCATACTAGTGAGACTACAAAGCAATGGGTATCGCGAAAGACTAGCACCGAAACACCCTTCTTCCATAGCCCTCCTAGGAGGTTCTCAACGCCGTGTAAACCAAGTAACACCATTCTTAAGTCTGTCGGAGAGATCGTCGATCTCGAAGCGATATCAGATAACATCCACGATGATCAACCCCAGGGGTCTTCAACGTCAAAGCCAAATGGCAAAGCAAGCCCAATAACCAACCCAAGAGGTACTCAATGCGATGAGCTCAGAACTTGAGAACCCAACTCGGCCTTCTGGTTGGCGGGAAGAGAAGGGCGGATGGGGGCCCACCGTGCACTCTGGTAGGAGTGATAGTAGTCGCAGTTGCCATGGTCGCAATTCTGCCTCTTCATCTCACGCAGACAGTGGTTGCCATACTTGGGACGTTTGACGTCAGGTGCGACCATGTTGATATTGACCTCGCCGATGGTGGTGACGTTGTTGATCGACTGGGAGCCGGGGAGGAAGTTGGAGGTAATACCGACCACGTTGTTGCTACCAGAGTTGGGAGTGCTGGTGCAAAGATCTCAGTAGTAGTCGCGCTCGCGTTTCAGTTTGTCGCGTTCCAGTGAGACCTGAGTGTATTCGGCAACACCGAATTCCACTTGACCTTTCCAATGGCCGACTTGGTTAGTCAGGTCTTGGACGCGAAGGGCGAGCTGGTTCTGGGACGTGTTGGAGAAGATGGGAGCAATGTCATCGTCGACGTCGTCGTCTTTGATCTTGCAGCGCTCTTCGAGAGCGAGGATATGCTTTCGTTGGCGGGCGATGATCCGGTCCTTGGTCGTGTTGGTTGCCATCTTCGAGGTATCTATACCAGACTAGCCATGCATTCGCCGCAATCGACAACCACGGGATAATACAAACCTTTGGATCACTTGAACTGACTGGGAGCAGAGGTCGAGCGGGTCGCTTTACAAAGGGTGATACTTATGATTGATGAGCGATAGGAATGCCAAGCTTCGTCAAGACTAGGGTGATCAGCTGCTATGGGTCAACAGTCGCGGCCGCGACTACGAGGCTGTTTTGCCTTCAAGGAATACGTCACTAGGAGCTCAGATATCGCGTGAAAGACGTGGTGCCCGACGTTCGCTACGTGCTATTGGCCAATTCCCACGAGCAAAACGACAGTCACAAGCACGCAGGTGGGGCCTAACCTAGTTAGGTACGAAGTGAGAGTGGAAATTGGCTGCCTAGCCGCGACCGCAAACCCCACGGGTGTAATTGAGACTAGCGCAACGCGGTCACGGCGGCGCCCTCTATATAATCCGCCGTTCCCCACCCTCTTTGACTTCTTCTTTTCTCTTCAGTTGGGTCGCAGATAACTACTGCCGTGAGGAGTTTACTTCCCACGCTCAACTCGCATGTCTGCATAAATGTGGGTGCTTGATACTACTGTACCCAATCAATGTTTGGGATCAACGCGGTAGGGTACGACAACAACCACTTGCTGGGTTGTCAGCGACTTCGAGAACCGCACAAAGTGGCTCATCGTCCGATCCAGACCGGTCTCTCCGGTTTGGGATACTTCAGATAAACGACATTGTCGGTCTGCGGGAAAAAGATGAGAAGTAGCGCCAGCAGAATTGGCACGACTTCACACTCAGTCTGGTCACAGACAGTCTATCTGACGCAGTGCTTGTCGCTTGCAGATAATGACCTCCGAGGGCTTTGGGATTTGGAGAGAGGACGAGGTGATTCTCGTTCTTCCAGGCATTCAACACGCACTGTTCGCAGTGCTGTTTGTGTACCGTACGCATCAGTGATGCGTGTCTGTCAACGGTATTTTGTCATCTTTTTCATTGAGCTCTGGGCCTTGCGCCTAGACTTGAGGAAGGAGAGTTGTTTGGGCAGATGAGCGACAAATGTAGTATCCATGGATGTGAAACTAGTTGTACACCACGAAGTCTGAATAAAGAAGTCATTGCGACATTGTTGGAGAAGTGTGTTATGCAACAAGTAAGTGAAAGACGACTTCATGCAACTATTGCTTAAGAAAGGAAAGGCTGGAATCAGGGAGTATAGATCGTAACATCATGAAACCACATAGAGACTTATCTCACTCATCGCTATCATCTTCATCATCTTCGTCATCGTCCATCTCTTCGTCTTCATCTTCACTATCATCTTCGCTTGCGTCAAGATCCACGGGTACCGTCGCCGGCCAATCCACGGTCACCTCTTCCTGCAATTCCTCCCAAAACTTGCCCATATCTGCTCCAGCGTACTCCTTCACCTTCTTCGCTGGGACTTGGGTGTTCAAATTGTTGTTGGCATCATCGCTCTTGAAAGTCACATACATGTGGTCTTGCTGTAACATGCCGACTTTAAGATGAGTAAGAGCAAGTCGCGGCGTCTTGGACAGCTTGCGGAAGAAGTCGCGCCAGAAATTGGGCTTGTGTCCGTGAGGTGGAGCGACTGCAGCGGGGATGTTCATCCTCCAAAGGCTCAGATCTTCTAGAGTAGGCGCAAACTTGGAGATAAAGTTGAACAGAATATCAGCGCGAGCGCTTAGCTGACCAAGCTCGAGGTTCTTTAAGAGCGGTAGAGCAACTGGGGCAGGGTCAAGAAAAGTCGCTGTATTCGAGCCGACAGTGGGTTTCGGAGTAGCCAACCACTGCAGAAAGTCCTCGTTATTGGCCACCAGATGTTTCTCAAAGTTCAGGCGAAGATGAACGAGGTTGGGAGTGAAATGGAGGAAGCGCCGAAGCGAGCGTCCCGCGTTTGGATCCACTGACGTTCCGTTGCTGTGGGTGTGCAGGTAACGAGGCTTGAGGTCCACGTTCAAGAGTAACGTGCTTGTGTTCTGCAGTATGGGCTCCACTGTAGGTCGGATGTAGTCTGGAAGGAAGAATGCCGTGTCGGGCAGGCCGCGCTGACGAAGCAATACTTCAAACTCAGTAGGTCGTCGGTTAGCCTTGCCCAAAGCGTACAACACGCTGGAGAAGACGCGAGACGTGAAACGAGTGCCGACATCCTGTCCGAAGGAATCGCGATCGGCGAACCGTAGCTCAATACCGGTTTCGCGATGGACGGTAGTTGCGCCCCAGGAGCTCCAGCTCTTGCCGTCACGAACTCGATTGCCTGCGTTGAAGTCGCGGATCCCGACGGTGGTGAGGTTCTCGAGACGCTCGAAAGCTTCCGTGAGCATCTCGCGGTCGATCCCAGTACCCAAAAGTGCTTTCTGGTCCTCATAGCCCTGAATATAGCGTGTAGCGGCGTCGTCGTCCCTGAAGCGTAGTGGTATCTCGCTGTAGACGTTGGTGGCAATGATGATGTGTACCAGCTTCTTGGAAAGACTGGCATGCTTGGATATGTCGATGAGCGCCTGCAGGCTCTTGTGCGTGAGCATGAACTGCTTCTTGAAGAAGAACTCTTTGGAAAACCATTCATATAGCGACTTCTCGGTTTGTTTGCATACAAGACGCAGTGAACCAAGATCTTCAGTAGGGAGGTATTCTGATACCGCGACCAGCAATTCCAGCGGTATGGTGAGTAGTGATGCCATCTTGACAGGAAGCGACGTTGATGAGTGAAGTTTGCTGTCGTGATGATGCGGGTGCTTGTGGCACGAGTTATCATGTGTGCACGCGTTCCGTTCGCGAAGGCAGAAACGCGGGCTAGTCCGCTTTGGGCGCTGATGCCTAAGGGCGTTCCTTCCGAACACAGGCCACCGTCTCATCGGCCACCTGGTTCCGTCTCAACCAAATGTTCAAATAGCCATTCTGCGCCCCCAATCCAGCTGCATCGCGTCTTCCAAGGTTCATCGAAGTCAATCGCATCAATCGCATCAATGGTACTTACTGGATTGTCCATCGCGGCATCTGGCCGCTTCCCGAGTGGAGTAACTCAGAAAGCGCTACAGACGCGTATAACGTCACTCGGCGCCGAGTACCTGTCGAGCGTCACACCGGACACAACCCATCTCATCGCAACACAGAAAGACTTCGAGAGCAATTCCACGAAAGTCAAGACTGCTGTTGCTCAGAACGTGTCGATCGTTAGCCTCGAATGGCTCGACGAGTGCGAGGCGACAGGTAAGTCCACAACATTCCGACGCACTCAGAACCGCAACATGCTTCTCAAATCTTAACGAAGAACTTCGAATTAACGGTTGGAGCAGATTCCTATGTTCCTGAGTCGCAATATTTGTTGTTTTCTGCGGCGGCGCCAGCTCCTGCCTCTGCTCCTGCCCCTGTCCAAAATGGGTCAAAGAAGCGCGCGGCGTCATCTGCATCACCACCAACTGCACAACAGGAGACTAAGAAGCCCAAGATCAAAGAGAATGCCAAAGTTGGAGATGGACAGAATGCCAAGTCCAAGCAGATTGCCATCTCCGTAGACGAGCATTGCCCTCTGGCTAGCTGGCGCGTCTACATTGACAACAACGACGGCACGATCTACGACGCGTCACTTAACCAAACAAACTCGTCTGCAAACAACAGTGAGTTGCGGCATTCACTCACAGATCTTGGACGTGTATGCTGACTACCTCAGACAAGTTCTACAAAGTCCAGCTTCTCACCGATGGCTCCAGCTACCGAACGTGGACACGGTGGGGGCGAGTCGGCGACCGTGGCCAGATGAAGATGCTTGGCGATGGAAGCCTCAGCAATGCCATGCAGGAGTTTGAGAAGAAGTTCAAGGACAAGTCCGGCCTCAAGTGGGCGAACCGCGGTGACGAGCCGAAGGCTGGCAAATACGCCTACGTAGAGCGCTCCTACAACCCTGACTCGGACGACGATGACGACGGCGATGCCGATGCTGGTGCTGATGCCGGCGAGACCAATGGCGTCACGCCTGACAGCACCTTGTCTCCTCCAGTCCAGGATCTCATGAAGCTCATCTTCAACCAGGTAAGAATCCAGTGCTTTTGGAGTTTCCGGGTGGCTACAACCCGCGTCGCATCTGAAGAAGAAAAAATCCATATTGGAGCCTGGCGACGATAATGCCCTAGGACGTGTTCATCTGTTGACTTTTAGCGCTGCGTATGCTGCAACACGAATTCCAGGCTAACATTTCAACCAGGATTACTTCAATCAAACCATGACTGCCCTGAACTACGACGCCAACAAGCTCCCACTCGGCAAGCTCAGTAAAGGCACCATCGCTCGCGGTTTCCAAACTTTGAAGGATTTGTCCGTGCTTATCGACGAGAATGACAACGATTCAAGGGCAGAGGTTGAACGCCTGTCGAACCAGTACTTCTCACTCATCCCACACGCCTTCGGTCGCAATCGCCCGCCGGTCATTCGAGACATTACACTCCTTAAGAAGGAGATTGAACTACTTGAAAGGTAAGTCATTGCTGTATGACATGCATGCGAGGCGTATACTGACTTCACTATAGCCTGTCGGACATGAAGGAGACTGCTGCTATGCTCAAAGACCAACTGAAGGACAAGAGCGATGTGAACAAGCTCGACAAACAATTCCAGGGACTTGGCATGAACGAGATGACCCCTCTTCAACACAAGAGTCGCGAATTCGTGGAGATCGACGAGTATCTCAACAACTCGAAGGGCAAGACACATCATGTCAGCTACAAAGTTCAAGAGATTTTCCGCATCGAGCGTCAAGGAGAATTCGACCGTTTCGACAAGAGTAAGTATGCGAAGATTGCAAGTAACCGCCGCTTGCTTTGGCACGGATCCCGAGTCACCAACTATGGTGGTATCTTGGGTCAAGGTCTCAGAATCGCTCCACCGGAAGCCCCTGTCAGCGGGTACATGTTTGGCAAAGGTATCTATCTCGCCGATATGTCTTCAAAATCCGCCAACTACTGCGCTTCTTACAATTC